TGGGGGGTGTTTGCAAACCCTGGTGAGGTGCAGCTCAAAGGGTGGGCAGGCAGCCCCCCAAAGCAAGCTGGAGCCAAAGGGGGGGTTATCCTCAAACCAGGGAATGGAAAAGAGGGCCTGTGGCACAGGGAACGTGGGTTTGATAACTGTGAGCTGGGTTTTATCTCAGCCCACGCAGAGGAAACCTGTCTGTGACGTGAATAACTCGTGATGTGAGTGGCTGGTGCCGTGTTTCCCCTTCCTGCCCCTGCAGCATCACCGGTGCCACGGCTGAGGCTGAGCATTATTTTGTCTCTTGAGTCTCAGAAAGTGGCTGAACAGAGCTCTGAGGGACATGGGATTTGCTGGAAGGAGTGTTATTTAGTCAGATGCCTTTTGCCTGAGGATTTGAACACCTTCCTTTCTGAAAAGCTGCCTTACGGGGTGATATTGCCCCAATCCTACCCTAAATAAACCAAAGTGGCTCATAAGGGTTGGACTCGGTGAACTTTAGGATTCCTTCCAGCCCAAACTGTTCTCTGATTCTACAGTTAAAACCAGCTTATAGTCTGGCCTGTGTTGGGTCACAATTCCCAACTAGGTGAGGATCAAACTGCCTTCCATGCAGCTTTCCCAGGATTCGATGCTCCACACAACCCTTGATTCTCTGCCCCGTGGGGGTGTGGGCAGTGCTGACCCGCCCCGAAAAGGAACACGGTCCTTCAATTTGGTGGGTTTTTCCCTTTCCCTTCCTTGCTGAGCTGTGCCGTGGGTATGTGTGGAGAGCAGTGAGTCAGCCCCAGCTCCTCACATCCCGCACGTCCCAGGGAGGCTGGAGGCTTCCCCCCACCCCCACAGCGAGTGCAGAGAGCTCTGAGGAAACGCTGCTGGTGAAAATTTGGGCTTTTTTTTTTTTTTTTTTTTTTTAAAGAGTTTTAAATGTGCTTAGGAAATTGCATTGCAAGACCGGCTGTAAAAGTTGCTAAAGACTTGTCTTTCCCTCCTCAGCGTCTGGGTTTGTTTTTTTTTTTTTTTTTCTTGAAATAAAAGGTCCTTATCTCCTCTGCCAACTTGGCAACCAAGGTTGCAGCTGATTCCTGCATTTTGGCTGTGGTTTTTTTCCTCTTCTGTAACGCTTAGGAAAATGACCATTGCAGAGGAGATAGCTGGAGGAGACAGCAATTAGACAGGGAAAGTTCAAGGTTACTGTTCTTTTTTTAGGGGGTAAGGTGTGCTGTCTCCTCCCAGCTCCAAGAGATGAGAGGTGGGAGCTGCCCTGGCCCTGCTCAACTCTGGTGTCTGGGCTGTCCCAGTCCCAGAAACAAAGGTCAGTGTGAAGTGTTGGAATCGTGACATTTCACCTAAAAAAGGGTTTTTGTTTGCTTTTATTTTTTTTTTTCAGGCAGGGTTCTATTTGCCTCCTGAACCTTGTGTTTCAAAGTCTCTTTCCCAACCTGAGGGCTAGGAAGGGTGTTTTTATTCATTAAATGCCAGTGGAGATGTCCATGCCATCCCAAAGTACTGAGAGCTTGAGCTGCGGGGAGAGCACAGAGCTCGGGATAACTTTGAGCATTAACCAAGCAGCTGATAATCATCTGTGGCAAACACCTCTTGGAGCAGCACTCAGATTGTGTTGATCTAATTAAACAATATTTTATTCAATTTTGTTTTAAATTTCAGCGACGGCGAGGTCTGTGCAAGCTCGCTGTGCGGACACTTAAATTGGATTAAGTGTGGATAAAAGGATTAATGACTAAACTAAATTAGACTAATTTTAGCTGTTCCCAATCTTATTTAGGAGAGTCTGCACAAGGAGGTTGTCAGGTTTAATCGCAACTTAAACCGGGCTTTGTGGCTGGGAGAGCTGCACGAGTTGGACGTCATCTGGAGGAAGGGCTGTGCCTGAATTTCCAAAGCAGGGTAAGCACCTGAGGCTTAACCCAGCTGTTGCTGGACAGGGGAGGCTGAGATGTGTGATGAGGACTGGGGGAGATGATGCTCCACAGCCCAGCTCCCCTCGCCGGCTTCGCACCCCTGAGCTCACCCGCAGCCCCCAGCCTGGGAAGAGCTGCTTTGGGATTGCTCTGGAGGGTGCAGGTGATGCTGTGCTGTATCACCTGGGTGTCACTGCCTGCAGCAGCCCAAATGTAACAACTCCCCTCCTGGCATGGCTCGTTTGGCACTGGGATAACCTTGGTGATGCTCTTGGGGAATGGGAGCGCCGGCAGCTCTGCCCTGGCTGCGGGTGGACGTGCAGGAGGAGAGGAGCTGGGAGCATTCCCAGCTCTGGGAGAGGTTTCAGGTGGCTCAGCTCCTGTTTCAGTCGTGTCCCTTGGCCGTCACACAGCTCTGTGCTGGCGCTGTGGCCACGGGCAGCTGGCAGGGCAGGGGCACGGCAGGCGCTGGGCACGCCGCGGGTGCGTGCTGTGAGCTCGGGGGGCAGGAGATCTGCCAGGAGAGGGGCTGGGGAGGTGCTGGAAGGGAAAGGGAGCAGCCCCTGCTGCCAGAACATCCCCATATGAAGCTCCAAGGGATCTGCAGGGTGGTTGATATGCCCAGGCACAAATGTGCTGTAGGCGCTGCCACCCTGAAACACTTGAGAGAAAGAGGGATGTGAAAAGAAAAAGGAAACCCCAAAGCCCAGCAAGCATGAACAAGGATCTGTCCCTACTAAAAATGAATAAAATAATGCAGTTTTGGTTTCCTTGCCCTGGCAGGTCCCACTGTACTGAAGCACTGTGTGCCTGCTTGGCAGAGAGGAGCGTCCCCATGGGCTGTGACGGGCACAGAGGGAAGGTAGGTTGGTGTGGGGTGGCTCAGCTCTGATGACCTGGGCAGTGTGGTGACCTGCTGTGGTGTGGCATCTGCGTGAGTGAAAGCTGCCCTGGAGATGTCACAGAGGAACAGCCACAGGGATTCTGGTGCTTGGTGCCTGATTCTCCCGTGTGGGTTTGCCCCCTGGTGCTCTTCCAGCCAGCCTGGCCCTGTTCTCTTGTCTCAACCCAAATTCTGAATCCGAATTTCGTTTTTCTTCACCTAATATTAATTTACCTTGGAGGAAGACATTGAAACATCCTTAGCACAGTGCTTTTGTGCAAGAATTCTGAGTCTGGGGGCCCACCCTGACCTAGTAGTCCACCCCAAGTGACACCCTGGCCTCGATGGCCACCAGTGGTCCCTTCCCACCAGCCCAGGGTATGACCCTGGGGTTTTTGCTGAGTCGTGGGGGGGAACTGGAGACAAAACACTGAGCTGACCTTTGCCTCTTGTCATCATCTCCCAAAATGTGGCATCTCAGTGGTCTTGGTGGGAGCACAGCTGAGCTGGAAAGGTGTATTGCCTCATCTTCCACATGTCTGAGTGCGGGCAAGGGTCAGGCACTGCTGGACTTTGGCTGTGATGAGCCCGAGCTCCACAGGGGGGTCTGGGACGAGGGGCTGACGCACCAACCAGGGAGGGGAGCAAAGGTGGGACAAAGCACCATGTTTTACCTGAGCAGGTCAGAGCCTGTGCACAGCGAGTGCCTTGTTTGAATTGCAGCGAGTTGAGCCCCGTGCACAGCGAGTGCTTTGTTTGAATTCCAGCAGCTGTAGGGGGAGGAACGAGCTGGCAACCAGGAGCAGAAAATAGCGTGTCCTTCACTTCGGTCACCCCTGCGGTGTCAAGGAGGATCCACGGCTTAACAGAGGCTCCTAAATGACCCATTAGTCTAAACTTCCTGAGGTTGATGTGCTGGCTGTGCTGTGCTGAGGGCTGGCAGCAGGGATACAGAGACCCCTTCATTCCATTGTTTGCTCCAAAATCCTCCAGAGGGGAGCTGGATGCTTTCCTAATGGAATATTTTCCTGTTTAGAAAACGGGGACGTGACAAAAATAACGGTGTTCTCCCTCTGCAAGGATAATTTTATCAAGCTCCAGGAGTGTTTGGACAACACTCTCAGGGACAGAGTGGGATTTTGGGGTGTCTGTGCAGGACCAGGAGTGACTTGATGATCTTTATGGGTCCCTTCCAGCTCGGGACATTCTGATTCCATGGCAGGACAGCTCCTCATGCCCCCAGGGCTGCAAAGGGAGGCAGCAGCAGGACGGGTCAAAGGGCTGCAGCACTTTGGAACCAGCTCCCAAGGGTTATTTGAATGTAAACCTAAAGTAGGTCAGTTGGGTTTGAGTTCAAGGTTTTATTTGCTTTCACAGCAGGTTGAACTGGAATTCATTAGAAATTCCTGAAATGTTTTTAAAAGAAATCATGATAATTAGTAAAGTCGGTGTTTTAAATCATGTGTGCTGGAATGAGGAGGTTGTTTCCTGGTCAGGTTTTAATTAAGGTGAGAAATAAAAAGACTAGGTAAAGAAAAACCTTTTTTATTGCTGATATCAGTAGTCTTGCAATTGAGAGAGTTGCCCAAAAGTTACAACAAAAGTTAAAAGCATTTCTTGCCCCTGGAAAAACCTTCCCAAGCTTCCCTTTTCTCATGCAGCTTCAGTGCTTTTGGCTCCAGGTCCTGTCCCCCATTCCAGGTTTCTCCCATGAAGGTTTGCAGGCACCTGACAGGACACAGACAGGTTGTGCCTGGTCTAATGACATCGGATTTCATCCCAGCTCTGGGAAATCAGGGACTGGAGGGGACTGGGAGTTTGGAGTCTGCCCTGCCCTGTGCCAACATGCTGCTCAGCATCACCAAGCAAATCATCCTTCTACCTGATTTTTTTTTCCATTTGAATGTTCTTTCAGGAATTGTGTTTCAGGCATTTGTTAATCCTCTAATGAAAAATGTAACAGCAGCTTTAAGTACTGTTCAGTTTTTTTTATGCTTGAGCTATAAATCCATCCTCAATCCATCCTTTTTCCTCAGTGGAGGTTTTGCATTTTAAGGGATTAAGTGTTCTTTATGCAGTGCTCTGCCTCTGATTTTCAGCTTCTTTTGTGTTCCTCTGAACTCCAAAGAGAGAGAGAGAAGTTAAAAACTAATCAAATATGACCATTCCAGACTGGTCAGTGCTGACTGACTGGTATCACACCTGATAATGAATCAAAAGCTGCTGATGGTTTCCTTGGAGAAGCTCCCAAGGGACTAAAGTGCCTTTAACTGAACAGAAAGTAATGTCAGATGGGAGGGAGGAAGGAAAACAAAGCTACTCATGCAGGAGTCACATCCTTTTCCACCTTGGCTGCCGCCACCTGGGTGTTTGGTACTGAGGTCACCCCGGGTGCAGCACCCAGGGGATGGGGAACCCCCAGTTCCTTCCTCCCCCAAAGCTCCCCCTGCTCCATCCCTGATGCCTGGAGAGAGTGTGGGGAATCTCTCTGCTCAGGCAGCAGGGCTCGGGCTGCCTGGCCAGCTGAAGACTCTAATTCTGAAAGCAGAGGCAGGGCAGGTATTAGTCTGGTATTATGGCAAGAGTGTGACCTTGTGACACCGGGTGACACACGTGTCCCCAGCTGGCAGGGCTGTTCTGCACCCTCACAGGTTTTTAGAGGGAGATTAGCTTTTAAATAGCTGGCTCTGATGCATTTTTCTACCCGATGCTGTGATTTCTTTCCACCTAAAACTTAAAACCTTTGTGGCACGGGCTGTGTCCTCTGAAGAGTGTCCCTGCCAGCCCACTGCTGGCACTAAGCCCTGGTGATGCCCATG